GGGCGTTCCATGCCTTTACCACTCTGTGGCTGAAGAAGGACCTCCTTACGTCCAGTCTCGCTCCTGTCACACGTAGTTTCAGAGGGTGTCCTCTCAAGCTAGTAGTGGTGGCCAGCTCAAAGAAGTCGCCGGATGCGAGGCAGCAGTCCTGACCCCGTAACATTCTAAACGTTTGAATTAAGTCGCCACGGAGTTGTCTGTAGTCCAGGGGAAAGAGGTTAAGATTTGAAAGTCTGGTTTCGTAAGGTAGGTTTTTATGACCTCTGACAAGCTTGGTTGCCCGTCGTTGGACTTTTTCGAGGGTGGTACGATCCTTAACAGTCCAGGGTCTCCAGGCCTGAATGGCAAATTCTAACTGTGGGCGCACAAACATCCCGAAGACCTTGCGGAAGCACTCTTCATCGAACTTGGCAAATGCCCGCTTAATGAGATGTAAGCTGGACATTGCGGATTTCGCTGCTTTCAAGCAGTGGAATGATGGCTTTAGTGAAGATGTAATCCACACCCCTAGGTCTTTCTGAACCTCTACCAGTGGCAGTGGTGTGTGATTTAGATAGTACGTCTGCCGGTGCGCAGAGCTGGTTCTGCCAATCCTCAGAATGTTGCATTTGGTAACATTAAATGGGAGGAGCCAGTGGCCTGACCATTTTTCGAGTCGGTCTAAGTTTGCCTGTAAATTTGCTTCATCGTCCTCGTTGCGGATGACGGCCCAAAGCTTTATATCGTCAGCAAACATGGCAATCTTGCAGTCCAATCCATGGATACAGTCATCAATATAGATGAGGAAGAGGATAGGGCCAAGAACGGAGCCCTGAGGTACTCCCCTCGTAACCGTCACCTCTGCCGATTGCTGGCCACCAAGACGAACAGTCTGGGACCGACCGACCAAAAAATTTTCAATCCACTTCAAAAGCTTGCCTCTTACCCCTATGCGGCTGAGCTTGTATAGGAGACGTTGGTGTGGCACGCTGTCAAAGGCCTTCTTGAAGTCTATGTAGGCCACATGCACAACGTTTCCTTCATCAATCGCTCGGGTCCACTGTTCAAGACAGTAGAGTAGATTGGTCAAGCAGGACCTCCCTCTGCGGAAACCGTGCTGTGCATCGCACAGAAGATGATTTTGCTCTAAAAACCGCATCAGTTCGCGTTTGATTATTCGCTCCATAACTTTGCAGCATATGGAGGTGAGGCTTACTGGTCGGTAGTTGTTTGCGGAAGCGCGACTGCCATTTTTATGAATCGGTGAAATCCACGCAGTCTTCCACTCAGGAGGCAGTCTGCCTGCATCAAGAGAGGCTTGGAAGAGGACGCTCAGAGGTTCTACCAATTCTGTGGCTAATTCCTTCAACAACTTTGCCGGTATTTCGTCAGGACCGGGCGAAGTCCCTTCTTTTAGCTTCAGTAATTCCTGTTGAACAATAGGTTTTGTGAGAACCACTGAGTCAATTGTCGGGACATTGTCCACATTACAGTGATCAGTGGGTACAGCGACTTCTCTCGTAAAAACCGACTGAAAGAACCTGGACAGATGCTCAGCCTTTTCGTCGTCCTTGTAAAGTTCAACGCCATCATCAGTTTTTAGCATAGGGATGGGATCCCTGTTGCGAGTAATTTGTCTTATGTAGTTGAAGAAAAGCTTTGGGTTTTCTCCTGCACAGTTTAAAAGGTTACCCTCGAAGCCTTGGCGGGCTTTGTAAACAAGGCACTTTACCCTATTCCGCTGAGCCTTATACCTATTTCTTGATTCAGTTGTCTTGTCCCTAAGATATGCTTTCCACAGCTTTTGCTTACGGTTTACTTCAACTTTTAGTGAACCCTTAAGCCACCGGGGCCTGCTGGTGATTTTCTTTTTCGACATAGGGCAGTATCTGGTGATAAGTTCATTCAGTATGGCCTTAAGTTCTAGCCAGTCCTTGAGGACACACCCCGTAAATGCTGCTTTCCAGTCTCTACGACGCATGTCGAGACGCATTTGGTTGAAGTCACCACGCCATATGTTGCGTCTAATCACGATGCTTTGATCGGGTACAGAGAAGAGAGAATACTCCCACTGTAGGACTACATGGTCGCTTTTTCCGAGAGTGGGTAGGCAGTTTACAACATCAACGCTTTCCGGTGCCTTTGTCAATACAAGGTCTAGGCAGTTAGCTAGTTGTCCTTCACGTAGTCTGGTTGGGGATAAGACGTGTTGTGTGAGATGCGATCTTTGCACAGATTTTAGGAGGCGGCGATCAAAGTTAAATTCTGAGCCCGGGGCAGAAGTCAGATTCCAGTCGATATTCGGAGCGTTAAAGTCGCCCATAATCATGACGTTGGGTAGGAGCGAAATCGCTTCTAATTCCTCTAGTAGACTACTGTCTGATTGCGGGTCGTTCCTTGGTGGGCGGTAGACCGTCAGGATCTCGAGAGGTTGTGACCCCGGCGTTTTGACAGTGAGCCAAATCGTTTCAGTTGTGCGCGCGAGCTGTCCCTCCTTTTCTGACGCAAAAGGGCCATATTTGACATACACGAGCACACCTCCACCTCGACGTCCCAACCTGTCCTTTCTGAACAAGTGATAAACAGATAAAGCGACTTCGCGATCGTCTACGCTCGAGGACAGCCACGTTTCAGTTATGGATATAACATCGGGTAAGGTTTGGTTAACGTAGATTTTAAGCTCATCTAATTTAGATAGCAGACTTTGCGCATTGGAATACAAGCATTTTAGCTTTTTTTCCTTTGGTAAGCCGGCTATGACGCCGCCTTTGCCAATTGTCTCGGCTGTGGCGACATACGCACGGGCCGTGTCCATATGAAGCGGGACGGTCGCTCGATTATGCAGTTGTTGTAGATAACCAGGCCTTGTTCGCCCTTCATTTGTCGCAGCCTTAGCTCCTGAACTAACTGTCGGCGTTTTATCCGCTCCGGTGGTGTGTAATCCGGCTGAAAAAAACTCCTTGGTGGGAATATTTTAACCTAAAACGTCTTGAGAAGATGAGATCAACATGCTCTTTGCAACTCAGAACAATTTTAAGGGGCCTAGGATGCGGTGGAATAGCGGGTTCAGTAGAGCGCTTTCCGAGTCTGAAGGCTTTCAACACGGAAATTTCTTCGTCGGGTTGAAGCAGTGTGTTAAGAAGACCTTGGAACAAGCCGAGATCAGCTAATACGCGTTCTTTAGGTGTATCTGCTTGAGGCTCCTGAAGTCCCTGTATTACTAGGCACTGTTCTCGGAGCGGCCGGTCTTGGTTGCGTGATGTTGGTGACTTGGGAGTTCCTGGCGAACCATTCATTATGACATTCTGGTTGCCATCCACTCCAGGGATCTTTTCTGCAGCTAATGGTATTGTGTTTGGGGCAATACTGCTCCTGTCTTTTATGTCAATACAGAGGATATTCGCATTTGCCGCGTCTGTGTCTACGCTGGCGCTGGAGGTTTCTGTCGATTGCTCAGACGAGCTCTGCTTTTCCACCCCAGGATGATGAAAATGCCATCTGCTATGTTGAGGCCCATCTGCTTAAGCGTAGTAAACCGGCATTAATTTTTGCAATACAAGCGTTTGCGGTGTCCGTAGAATATGAGTAAACACACTTGAGGTCGTCGGCATAAATAAATGACCCGCCCCTCAAATATTACCAAAATAGAAGCATACATAGATTGTCCGCAATAATGTCTGAAAACATATTCCCAGACACCACACGCTTAGCATTGTGCTAAACATAAAATAAGTTACTAAAATATTTAGCAAGAATCTATGTGAACAAAGGGTTGCTGTACTTACATCGTTCTGTTTAATCAGTGTTTTGCATGGGCAGGTCTCGTGCGCTTATAGAACTTGATCCTACTCATTATACAGGAACAGAACCATGACCAGGTCTCAGTGGGCTGAGATTGTTTGATGGCCTCTATCGCGCTTCATGACAGGATGTCGGTAACATAATTCTCCACATCGTGCTCACAGGAAGTGACTCAGGAAAATTTATTTGAAGTTCAGAAGGGAAATCCGTAATGAGTGAGCCCATCCATGTCTAGCAGTTGCGTGTTAGTATCATGTCGGGTTCATCAAACAACTTCGACCCATCCAGACTCCACTCCAATTCAACAGAGCACCCAGGGTCCTCCCTACTCTCCCATATTTTGCCTCTGTTACCAGCCATTTCACTTCACCCATTTGTCGCCGAAATTCAAATCAACAACTCGACCACCGAACTTTTTAACCGCCTTATCAACCTGGCTCCATCCTGCCGGTCTCAATCGCCCACGCTGCCAAAAATGCTGCCGTTGGAATGTTTATCACGCACTCAAATTAATGTTTTTCCTCCATTCGGATTTTTCATCCAAACCCCTATCCGGGAGGCACGCACATGTAATCGCCCTACACCGGGCACCTGTTGAGACGCTGCACTTCTTGCGAGTGCCTGCATGTACTCAACCGCAACCACCTGGTATTGACCCGCTCTCTTGATCGCCGCCACTTTGTGTCACAGCCCTTTTTCCACCCCATGCTCTCGGTCGATTTGCTGCTAGGATCAAGCGAGGCTTGTCACTAGCCTTACTTCGACACAGCGCCAATCAGCGCAGTTTTTTCGATAATTGATGACAGGCGGTGAAATTATACAAATCAGAGTCGTATACGCGCGCCTGGAAGGAGGCAGCTCACATCATCTGCTTTCCGAGTCACTCAGGACGCCTCTCCCTCGACGCCGGACGCGCCATCGTCCAGCTGACGACTCTCTCCAATCCCTTATCTAGTTGTTCTATACATAATCCTCCCAACTTCCGTTCCAATCCTCTTCTCCCTGTGTGGGAACGCAGCTAAGAGTCGCAGTGGCCGGAGTCTAGGCATGGCTTAAGTTTCCACAAGATTGGCGACCTCAACGTGCTCAGTGAACACACTGAAGTCTCTACCCTCAAGGAAGTGCTGGAAGTGTTTGACAGCGAGGCAAACGGCAAGAAGCTCCCGTCAAACCGTACCGTAGCGCGATTTGGTAGGTGATAAATATCTAGGAGAAAAAAGCTAGGGACTGGTCTGGCCTGTAAGGTGCTGCTGGAGAACCGCGTCAAAGGCAAAATTGGGGACATGCTCCATAATGGTGATAGAGACGCCGGGAGCGGAGTGGATCAGAAGTGTGGCATCGACCAGGGCAGCCTCGACTTTGTCAAAAGCAGCGATCGCGTCTGCAGACATCTCGAACGAACTTCTGGGGCTCGAGAGGAGGCTAATTAGTGGCAGCATAGTGTCGGCACGATTTGGGTGGGGCCAGCGATAGAAATTCATCGTGTCCGGAAATCGCCGCGGCTGGCGTTTGGATGAGGGAGGTGGGAAATCACGCATGGACGCAACCCTTGAAGGAAGAGGATGAATGCCGTTGGAGTCAACCAGATGCACGAAAAATTCTACGGAGGACGTACAGAAGACATTTCGATGGTTTGAGAACAACGCCAAATTGTTGAAGACGGTCAAACGCCGTTGGAAGATGCTCCATGTGTTCTTCGACAGTGGAACTGCCTACGAACGAGTCGTCAATATAGGAGTAGGCAAGTGGTAGGTTGCGAAACTCCTGGAAGGTCCGGGAGTCGTTGCAAAGTTCGAACGGCATGCGCAGGAATTCACAGAGACCAGAGACAGTGGTGACGATGATCTTCAAAACGTTCCCCGAGGCCATGGAATTCTAGTGGAAGGCACGGACTAGGTCGGTCTTCGAGAACGCAGATTTGTCGAAGAGGGTACTGGCCAAATCCTGTGGGTGCGGGCCAGGGTAGCGGTCCAGAACCCTGTAATCACCGTAGGGGCGACGGTCACCAGGGGCGGTCTTGGAAACCATGTGGAGGGGCGAAGCTCATGGGTTTTCGGATTGACGGATGATGCCCATCTGATGCATGTTGTCGAACTCGGTCTTGGCGGCATCAGGCCCTGCAGACGCGAGACGGCGGGGACGAGAAAACACAGGAGGGTCAGTGGTTCGGAAGTGGTAAACAACGTCATGTGGTGGAATAGAAGCACTGGAGTTGGAATGAGTGAGGCCGGGGTATTTGGCGAGAAACTATCAAAATGGACTATTTGGGTCAGAATCTAGGACGAGGAGTTGGCGGGATTCTCCGGAAGAAAGGATACCTCGGACGGTCAGCTTAGTGATCTAATCGTGTAAACTGAATGATGGCAGTCGACTAAAAGGTCAAAGGTGGCAAGAAGGTCGGCAACAAGAATGGCACAGGGCACGTCAGCAACGACAAAGACCCAGAGGAGGAAATGTCGAAAGCTGATATCCAGGAAGAGGGAGCAGGGGTGGAGGTAGAGGTGACAATTGGCGATGTGCTGACAGCCTGAAATAAGAGGCTTTGGGATAGGTGAAACTCATCTGGGCACCAGTATCAGCCACGAAACGTCTACCACACCGAGCGTGGAAGATGTAGTTGGTGAGACCAGGGTAAGTGCTGGCAGGAAGATTTATCGCACTAACCTTTGGGCCGGCTCGTTTAAACCGTTTGCTCTGCTGGGAGGCAAAGGAGCAGGGAGAGATGCAACGACGGGTTTTAGCACCGAAGGTGGTGTGATCCCAAAAGGTGGCGGCTGTGTTAAGACGAGACAAAGATGTAGACTGGACAGATGACCTCGGCCGGCTACGGGATGATGAGAAAACCGTCTGTTCTTGAAGAGAACTTATATCTTGGGGGTAGATTCACAATTTGAGACCCTAGACGCGAGAGAGGAGACGCGGGGGGAATTGGAGACGATGTGTGTGTGGCGACCAACGTGGACCTCGACCTCCCGCCATCTCTCCAGGAAACGATCAGGGCCGTGCAGCAGCTCTCCAGCGGGAAAGCACCCGGATCGGACGCAATCCCTGCTGAGGTCTACAAGCACGGAGGTCCCCTACTGATGGATCACCTGACTGCGCTCTTCCAGGAGATGTGGCGTCAAGGTGAAGTCCCGCAAGACTTCAAGGACGCAACTATCGTGCATCTTTACAAGCGCAAAGGGAATCGCCAAGTCTGCGACAACCACCGCGGCATCTCCCTACTGAACATCGCCGGGAAGATCTTCGCTCGCATCCTGCTCAACCGCCTCAACATCCATCTGGAACAGGGCCTTCTGCCGGAAAGCCAATGCGGCTTCCGTCGTCATCGTGGGACCACGGATATGATCTTCGCCGCCCGCCAACTTCAGGAGAAGTGCCAGGAGATGCGGACCCACCTGTACTCTACCTTCGTTGACCTGACGAAAGCCTTCGACACAGTGAATCGTGAAGGACTGTGGAAGATCATGCAGAAGTTCGGCTGTCCGGAGCGATTCACTCAGATGGTGCGTCAGCTGCACGACGGCATGATGGCGCGAGTCACGGACAACGGAGCTGTCTCAGAGGCATTCGCAGTGACCAACGGAGTGAAGCAGGGCTGTGTGCTGGCGCCTACCCTCTTCAGTCTTATGTTCTCTGCCATGCTGATGGACGCCTACCGCGACGAATGCCCTGGAATCCGCATCGCCTACAGAACGGACGGTCATCTCCTGAATCAACGGCGCATGAACTTCCAATCGCGTGTATCCACAGCCACCGTGCACGAACTCCTCTTCGCCGACGACTGCGCCCTGAACACCACCTCCGAAGCGGAGATGCAACGCAGCATGGACTTATTCTCAGCCGCCTGCGAGAACTTTGGGCTGGTTATCAACACGCAGAAGACGATGGTGATGCATCAGCCGCCTCCCAACTCAGCCACAGCCCCCAACGCGCCGCCGCAAATCAACGTGAATGGGACTCAACTGCAAGTGGTAGAGAACTTCCCGTATCTGGGCAGCACGCTCTCCCGCAACACAAAGATCGACGACGAAGTCGCCAACAGGATCTCGAAAGCCAGTCAAGCCTTCGGACGCCTCCAAAGCACAGTTTGGAATCGTCATGGTCTCCAACTGAGCACAAAGCTGAAGATGTACAAGGCCGTCATCCTGCCGACGCTACTGTACGGAGCGGCGACCTGGACGGTGTACACGAGGCAGGCACGTCGACTAAACCACTTCCACCTCAGCTGTCTCCGCCGCATCCTGAGGCTGAACTGGCAGGACCGCATCCCCGACACGGAAGTACTGGAACGAACGGGAATTCTGAGCATCTACTCCATGTTGAGACAAATGCAGCTGCGCTGGAGCGGCCACCTGGTGCGCATGGACGACGAGCGACTACCCAAACGACTCTTCTACGGAGACGTCGCGACGGGTTCTCGTCGTCAAGGAGGCCAAATTCGCCGTTCAAAGGATACTCTGAAGTCCTCCCTGAAGCGCCTGTAAATCAACCCGACCAACTGGGAAGAGCTCGCCCGCGATCGTCCGACATGGAGGAGAACAGTGAAGACGGGCGCTGCTATCTATGAAGCCAACCGCATCGCCGCCGCCAAAGTGAAACGCGAAGCCCGCAAATCACAAGTTCGCCCAATACGCAACGCCGCCGCACAACCTCTCCCTACGTGTCCTCGATGTCAACGGACATTCCGGGCACGAATCGGACTTGTTGGACATCTTCGAACCAACTGCACCTCTCGAACTGCTCCAGCCATCGTCCCCCATCCGCCGTTTCCTCGTCCTCTGTGTCGCCAACTAACTCTGACACTCCTTCTGCACCACCACTTCCATCCTCCTCCTTCTCCTCCACTGCCCCAGCGGTGGCCGTTCAGGCTGCCGTCTCACACATCGCCAACCACGACACAACAA